GGACTTCCAGGCTGGCCGGCTCAGCGTTTCCCCGGCGTGAGGGCTGGGGACAGCAGGTGGCATCGGAGCCACCACCGCTGTAGCGACGGTCTGTCGCCACCTGCTGGCCGCCGGGCTGCGGCTCAGCCCTCTGCAGAGCTGAGCGGGCCGAGGAGCCCATGAAAACGGGGTGGGGGAGACCAGCGTGGTGGCATCCGCCTTTCACCCAGAACTAGGTGAGTTCCAGGCCGGTCGGGGACCCCATCTCGGTAAAGCTAAATAAAAAAATGTGGGTGGGGTACAGGCATCGCTAATTGGAATCAGTGGGTGGTAGTTTTGTTTAAAAGGATAAGGTGCGAATTTGGGAGGGGGAGAGTACAGGAGGAGTTGAGGCTGGGGAGTGGGGGTGAGTATAATCTAAATACATTGAGTACATGCATGGAGTATAATAATATAATATAATATAATATAATATAATATAATATAATATAATATAATATAATATAATATAATATAATATAATATTTAATATAATTAATATAATAATATAATATAATGTAAGTATAAAGAATAAACGTTCTAAAATGTGAGTGTAGATGGAAGTGAAGGATCCACAGTAATCCACTCACCAAACCACGAAAATTAGTGTGCCTTTTATTACTTATTTACTGTTTTGTTTGGTGTGCTTTTAAAAAAAGAAAATACTTATTTTATTATTTATACAGCCTCTGCCCGCATGTGTGCCATCACACCAGAAGAGAGCGCCAGACCTCGTTATCAATGAGCCACCCTGTGGTTGCTGGGAACGGAACTCAGGGCCTGTGGAAGAGCAGCCACTGTTCGTAACCTCTGAGCCATCTCTCCAGCCCTGGCGCGCTTTCTATAAATACTTAAACTTTCCTTCGTTCACTAGTCAATCATAAACACTTTGGAGGGGCCCCGAATGACACTGGCGTTATTGATAGATTGTCACATTCTTGTTTCATCCTCAAATAAAAGCATGCAGGGCAACCTATCCTAGTTTTTATTATTGTTTTCATACAGGTCTGATGACAGCCCAGACTGACCTGGAATCAGGAATCCCCCTGTCTTAGCCTCTGCAGTGATGAGTTTCCGGGTTCCACGACCATACCCTGCCACTCTGCTCTTGAGTTATGACTTACCTCCATTCACTCCTCAGCAGCAGTGACTTGCTGACTTCCCGTCCCTGACAGGCTGAGGCTGCAGCGGAGAAGAGAGAGACTGAGTCATCAGTCACTTTGCAGTCTAGTGGGAGAGAGAGATATTGATTAGCCAGTCACCATCACAGTAGGGTCAATGGAAGGGTCCCAATGAGAATGGGCCTCAGTGCCCCGTCAGTTCTAACTAGAGATTCGGGGCTATTTGATACGCCTGAAGTGACTTTGGTACTTCCGTTTCAGGGGTGGGGGCTGTATCCCAGTGGGCTGATCTGCACGGATAAAGATGTTCACTGTATAATTCTTTTCTATAGTGCACACAGAGATATAAAGAAAGCTGCCCAAGAACTCAAGGATGAAGAGTTGCTTAAGTAAATTATAGCATGCAAAAAAAAAAAAAAAGAATATTCTAAAGCCATTGGACATGAAAGAGTAGAGCAACACTGAGAAGGGAGTGAATTTATTATTTATTTTGCAAGTTATAGTAATAAACCTCACTTCCAGAAACATTTTTATGTCTCTTTTCTTTTTTAATAACTATTTTTATTTTATGTGCACTTGTATTTTGCCTGCTTGTATTTTGTACTTGTATTATGTCTGTTTGAGGGTGTCAAATCCCCTGGAACAGGAGTTACAGATAGTTGTGAGCCATCAAGCGGTTGCTAGGAATTGAACCCGGGGCCTCTGGAAGAGCAGTCAATGCTCTTAACCACTGCGTCATCTCTCCAGACCCTTATGTCTCTTTTCTTCCTGCTTGTGGCTATGTAGTCACTGTTACTGAATTGTGATTTTCATGCAAATATGTTGTGATTTCTCCCTTTGGGAAAAAAAAACCACAACCCCCACCCAAAATTTTTCTCTATTTTCCTACTGGCTCCCAACTCTTCTCCTTGCCCACCCTTTGCTGAGGAGCATCTCCAATTCTGCTCCTCTTAAATCCACTCTGGCCAGGACTTTGTGCATGTCAAAGTCACCAGTGGTCGCCATATTGCTAAGTCCCATGTGTCACATTAGTTCCCTCATCAGCGTTGACACAGTCACAGAGGATCCCTTCTCTCCCCTGCCTCTGGCTTCCTCATTCCAGTCTCCATCCTCACATCTTCCTCAGCTTCGAAGGTTAATTTTCTTCTCTACCGACATTCATTCCTTATCCAATCAAAGCCTTGGTTATTTCATTTGTTTTTTTTTTTAACTTTTTTTCTTTAAAATGTTGATTGTGCCTATTTAATTGTGTATCTGAGTGCATGCACATGTGTATGGATTGACTCGTGTCAGAACTCACAACTGAAGACAACCTGAAAACTTGTCAGTTTTCTCTTCCCTCCAGGTGGGCCCTGGGGATTGAACTGAGACATTTCATTGGCCCATTCATGCCCCGTTCGTTCATTCATTCATTCATTCATTCATTCATTCATTCATTCATTGGGTGCTGGAGGCGGAATCCAGTGCTTGCTCAGCAAGTTCTCTGCTATGAGCCCCCCACCTCCCAACCTTCACCTTCTTTATGAGAAATCTAAAAGGGTTGTGGTAGCTCAAAGCTCGCTTTCCATGTTATCCCTTACAACGTCAAACAAAAGGTTCCAGATCTCCAGACTTGTTTCTTGTCTGTTCTCTCTTCTTCCTTGTGTTGGCTTGCTAATCAAACCCGTTAGCCCCAGAGAGATTCTCTCGGGCCCACAGACCGCCAGCAGAGATGCTTTCCCTTCTAGCCTCTGCTGGGATGGATGCCACCCATGGCAGCTGTGGCTTTGCTTGGGACATCCTGCATCCTTGAGTGACTGTATGGAATATGGTTACTCCACTACCCTCTCCCCAGTCAGAATTTCATGGATAAAAGCAAAACATTTATTGTGTGCATCTATAGAAATTCTGGGGCTTATTTGTCCAGGAACTAGGGGTGATTAATACACAGTTTGGTCCTTTGCATTGGGACCCTGTGGTTAAAAGTAAACTCTAGAGGTTGGGGAGCCAACTCAGCAGTCAAGAGCACCTGTTATTCCTGCAGAGGCCACAGGTTCAGTTCCTGCACCCACCTGATGGCTCAGAATCTTCTCTGACTCCAGTTCCAGGGGGTCTGATGCAGGACACACATGGCACAAGGACATACACGCAATCAAAAGGCTCATACACAAAAGCAAAACAAATCTTAAAAGTGGTTTTTAAAGGAAAAACCATTAAAAATAAAAATCAGCTCTAAAATACATAGCATTGCAGAGGAAGGCAAGGAAACTGATATTGGTGACTAAAACAAGGTTACCCCCCCCCCGTGTTGGGTACTAGAAAGCTATTTAGCATAACTTTTGCCCTTGATTACTGGGTGAGCAAAGTGCCTGCCGAGCCTGCGGCTCTGAGGGAATAGATGGGCACGGGAGAGCCTCTCTGCCCAGGTCTGGCTCTCTGGAACTCAGACATGGGACTCAGCATGCGTGCATGAGCTGGTGTGGGTGGCAGGGAGGCTGTTCCCCTGACCAAGCAGAGCTACAGAAGGGAGCAAATGGATTATTTTACCAGTTAGCTGAGACCCTGTGATTTAAGCAGAGAAAACCATGAAGTGGGTGTGCAGGTCTCACCTCTGTTGTGTAATCCCCATGTCTATTTGTTTGGACCCCGTGGCGTGGGATGATTTGGATGATTTGAGCAGATGCTCTTCTTGGGCTCAAGGTGAGAGACCAAAGATCCAGCTCCTGACAGGGGCGGGAGCAGGGACCAGGGGTGCAGGGAGCAGCAGGGCTGTCTTCGAACAACTGCTCTCTGTGGGAGCCCACTCCATCCCTACGAGGAAGCCGAGTTTGGTTTAAAAAAAAAAACTTTCCAAGAATAAACGATGTGAAGCCGCTCACTGCAGAGCAAATTCTTTCTGGGGGGTCTTTTAAACAATGGGCTTGGAAAGCTGAACTGCTCTGCTCTCTGCTTCCCTGAGCGAGAGTAGGTTGAGAGGAGGAAGAGGAAGCAGGAATCTGGAACAAATGTCGCTGCGGCCCTCGCCTTTTCCAGCTAAGTGCTGTGCTGTAAGAACAGGACGCAGGATGCTGCCGTGGGCCCAGCCAGCAGCTCTGGGTGGGCTAGGGACTGCCCGACAGAGGTGGGGGAGGGAACAGCCACTTGGGGCCCCCGGGGAACCAGTTCACAGAAAAATCTGTCTCTGTGAAAAGCTGCATATGGTCATATATGGAATTCTCTGGCAGCCAATTCAACACCAACCACTGTTCTCAAACTCACATAGGCACGAAAGATGAAGGCCTGCTCTGCCTGACGGCGACACAGAATTGCATTCCATGTCTAGGGAGAATAGACTTGTGTGATTAAGGACAGTTGTACAGTTGGAGCCCCGGGACCCACACGGTAGGAGAGCCAACTTGTGAAAATTGCCCTCTGACCTACACAGGTGCCACGACATACCCACCATCGCCCTAACATAAAATAAATGCATACATGTAATTTAAAACCCCACATGTAAGGCTGGGGGGCGTCGTCCGGTGGGAGAGCTGCTTTAGCTCTCTTTAACTTAGCCCGTATGTAGTTAATGTGTGCGAGGTCAGGGTTTGACCTTTAGCCCAAGACAAGACCAGGAGCCCCTGCTCCACGATACATGTAAATCTTCACGCGGCTTACACCCAGCATGAACACAGCGATCGTGTAAAAGCAAGGCGTGTCTGCCCGTCTGTGAGAAGCTCTCGGGGCTTTGAGGCTGTGGGCAGCTCAGCTGTCGCGCACGCACGCACACAGGTGGTGTAAGACAATAGCTGTGGAGTCAGCTGGCTCCTACCGCCGGCAGCCAAGCGCCAGCCAGAGTGCCAGGGACCGGGACAGGCAGCAGGGAGCAGGACAGCCACACCAGCGCCCATGGAGCTCCCGGCTTTCCTCCTGCTGCTGGGCTTCTGCTCCGGTAAGTGCCGGGCCTGGGGGCTCTTGTTGGAGGGCAAAACACTAACGCGCCTGCGCCCCCCCCCCCCCCCAACGCCGACCCCTGCCTTGTTTCTTTGATGGGAACACGGGAATGGCCACACCAGCCATCTTGGTGCCGGCTCCAATGGACTCCTGAGTATAGGTTTTTAGTTTGGTTTCCCAGGTAAGGCCGGAGCTGCTTGGTCAAAGGGCCCAAGCAAGATCTCCTGGTTGCTCTATTATAGCCCGGTCCCCGGCTCAGCCGCTTGTACATCCTAGTAACACTTGGACAATCTGGGTCACTGCTAGAGCATGGGAGCACTCTGAACTGCCTTCAGGCAGGCATGTCCAACACACAGCCCAAGGCTGAGTGAGAAAGGCCAGAGACACTGAGAAGTATGCCCCACCACAAAATCATAAATTTACTTAACTTTTTTCCTTTTTTTAATTTATTTTTTTGATTATTACAATTTATTCACTTTGTTTGCCGGCTGTAGCCCCTCCCTTGTCCCCTTCCCAATCCCATCCTCCCCCACCTCTTCTCCTCCCATGCCCCCCTTTTTAAAAATTTTGTTACTTTGTTTTTTATTTCATCATCATCATCATCATCATCAGTAGCAGCAGTAACTAGATTCCATGGTTTGGGGTTTGAACTTTATAGATGATGATGTATTACAAGGTTGAAGCTCGGAACAGCAACATTTAGGCACAAACAATGCCACTCGTGTGCCTTTTGTGGCTCTTAGGATTTGTCTGAGAATGAAGACATTTGATTGGCAGCTGCAGGTGCCAGGAAGGGAGCCCTGTTAACAAATGTAACTAAACTGTCTCTACAGAGAAAACAGTTTTGTCGGGTTTTTTTTTTCAACTTCAAAGATTCTTTTTTTCAAGTTTATTAAACGCCCTGGGGCTCCCCCCCCCCCCCCCACGCACTTTTTAAGGATCTGACTAGTATGTAGGTTTTAGCTTGAGCTGGACTCACGGAACCTTGCACAGCCCTTGACCTACTCTCGACTCTGGAATGTGTCACCTCGCAGCAGCTGAAACGCTACCCTGAGCCCCAGACTTCCGGTAGAGGGAAACAGGAGGTGTGTGTTGCCTGCTTCCGATGTTGAGCTTACGACACCCCGCTGAGAAGTACAGAGGCCCAACAGCCTGCGGCTCACCTTGCTCTACCGCTACCCTGACAAACACAGGCCCTCCAGGCAAGAGCCACGGGCACATTCATACACATATCTTTTCTCCATAGCAGAGTCAGAGAAAATATCTAAACTCAGATCAATTAAATCCGTGGAATTTGAAGCTGATTCAAGCGAAGCAGGCTCGGTATGTGTATGCACGTGTTTGCAAACACTGCACTCAGCAGAAATTTGTTTTTAAAAAATTTAAAGATTTGTTTGCTTTATGTTCTGTGTGTGGATGTTTTGCCCACGTGTATTGTACACGGTATTGCGTGCCTGCTGACGACAGAGGTCAGAAGAGGCATCAGATTCCTTAGAGCTGGACTTAGAGATAGTTGTGAGCCACCATGTGGGTGCTGGGAACGGAAGTTGGGTCTTCTGCAAGAACAAGTGCTCATAACCTTTGCCCCATCTCTTCAGCCCCCTCAGTGAAAATTCGTAAGTGACATGCTTCTAAAAAAAACACCTACAAGATCTCTTAGGACAAGGGATTCGTACGCAGCTGTCAAGAGGGGTTCTCGCTGTGTATTTTGATCAAACCTAAGAGTTCCTGTACTGATTCCCATGTGTAGCCTGTGGGAAGCAGAGGAAGTCCTGGGTGCGTGCTGTTGACACTGGTATGGCCATGTCAAGGACCCCGAGCCTCAGACCCATGGAGGAGTATGAAAGCCTTCCCCTTGGGGTGAGACTCAAGGGAAATGACAAAGTATTCCTGCTTCAGTACTGGAAATGTGTGCAGAGAGTGTACACCATAGCTTTTTCCGCCAGAGTATCATGGCTTGAAGACTGCTCCCCTACAGGGCCATTCCCACTGAGACAGTTGACCCTGTCCCCTTGATCTAACCGTACACCATAAGCCCCGCCTCCTTGTTTAGCTGGATTCAATACCCCTCCTCCCTGTTTGATTTGTATAATAAACACGAGAGGCTTCCTGGGTGCTGCGCTTTCTCTAGCCGAGAGACCAGACCATCCAATCCCCACTTTCCTGTGTGTCCATGTGTTTGTCTGTGTTTCCTTTCTCAGTCCCCTCACTGTCCTGAGGCCACAAAAAGGATGTGACAGTAGTCCATACAAATTTAGAATTATAAAATGCAACCCAACACCCTGAATTTGCTTATTGGAAGAGAACCGAAGTTAAAAGATATAAACTGATCTGAGGAGTGACGTGACATAAGTTCTGGAATGTAATCACTTAAAAAAACCTGGTTTGTCCCACACAGAGGCCTAAAACAACCCGAAATCACTCAGAGAGAAAGAGAAACAGTGTAAGATTTACCCAAGGTAAATCCCACGGCAGTTCAAACCCAGCGGCCAGTTCCCTGTGTACAAATATAACCTGGACTGAGGAGATGGCTCAGTCAGCAAAGCCCTGGCCTTACAAACACAGGATCCTAGCTCAACCCCCACAACCCGTATTTTAAAAACCAGGCATAGTGGCACACATCTGTAATCCCAACACTGGGGAGGAGAAGCAGACAGGTCCCTGGTGCCTAGGCCTCCAGCCTAGACTACACAGTAAATTTTAGGCTAAGGAAAGGAAGCCTCCCAAAAGATGAGGATCCCTGGAAGTGACACCTGAGGTTGTCGTCTGGCCTCCAAATGCACGTGCACATACGTGTTCTTGTCCATCACACATGCAAATACACAGTTTCACACACACATAACACAGCTTAGACCAATATGATACCGAGAGCACATTTCCAACTGGTGGCCGAATTCGTCTGTTAGCATCAGTCTTTTCATTCATTCTTGTGAGGGCCACCCTCTTGGTGCTCGCTGAACACATGACACTTGCCGTTCTGTTTGCATAGCCCCCTTCACAGTGTCCTTCTTCCGTCTTCCACTTCAGAATCCCAGGCACGCCGAGGCCGCCTTTCTTAGGACACATCAACTTCGTGTTTATTTATGTTAATGACAAATGTCAATTGTCAACTGCGTAGAGAATAGCATCCCTGCCAGGTTCACCTTCAGATGCCGTAACATTCCTGAGACAATGTTTGCATGCAGAAGAGATTCGACAGGCATTGGGCCAGCTAACAATGTTAGCACCGTTGGAATAAAGATGTCAGTGTGATTTGGTGAGAAAGGGCGGCAGCTGACATGCTTTGTTTTCTATTTATAACCTGCCTCTTTAGTGAAACAGTGGCTACTGGCAAGCATTGACTCCAGCCCTCCAAGCCATAGTGGAGCTGGGCGGCATTCTTCCTTGGAGTCTTGTAAAATTCTATCACATCAGCTTGCTTGCTCATTCCATCACTGATGGTCCTGATGACTTGTTTCCTGGCAATGGATTACAGTAATGTTTCTATAAACACGGCTGGTGAGGGGTTGGGGGTGGGGTGGATTTGTAGCTCCTTGCCTTGCCCATTGAAACCAATCTAAGAAACTGAGACTGATGTGGAAATTCCTTGTGGAGGGAACAAGGTCCCTTGCCGTGGGCAAAGGGAGGAGGTGAGTGTCCCTGGCATGCTGGCCTGCCCGTTCCCCCAATTCTCCCCTCCCTTTGTGAACCATTAGGCTGGACTCACAGCTTTCCGGGATGTAACGCTGGCCCTGTGCGCTATCCATTCCTTTCTAGTATGTTTCTCTTGTACAAGAACTGGGTCTTTTCACAACACCCCCTCTTGAGGGTCATCAACTTGCCAGCACTTTGGGGGAGAGTTAGGAGAAGGTTCTGTTTACTTGGACCCTGTTGATACTGTCGGAAGTTCTGGGGTTCAGAAAAATGTAGGAAGCTAGAAGTGAGACGTGGGCCAGGTCAGGGTCAGCAAGGGTAACAGTGAAGGTGGTTTAGCCATATTGAAAGGTTCAAATCTAAATGGAGATTACATGTTACCTTTAGGGAAGGGATAACCTCTATTTATAATCCTGTCTCTAGCCAGGAGGGGACCTGGGAAGGCATGGCTATCCACAGAACCTCAGTGTCCCCGCCTGTGAAGCTAGGGTCAGAAAAAAACCAAATTACCTGCTAATTCAGGAGGATTGTATATTTTCATGAAACTTAACATACTAATTCATTGCATCACATAAGTCATTCCATAAAGATCCAAGTTCTAGGTGAGAAATAACACTACCAGGCAAAGAGGGAGCACACCGCATTCATTCAGCATCTAGAGTCTTCTTGATCCATGGAGAAGTTATGGTGGCCCTGGCGACAGCCTTCGGAAAGGGAATATGTGGTTATGTGAATCAGATTGTTGTTTTGTTTTTGTTCTTGTTTGCTCTGTTTTAATCGGTACGTGGCTCAATCAGCAGGGAGCTGTAAAAACTGAGGTAAAATGCACATTACATGAATTTGACTATTTTAACCGCCGTGCCCAGCTCCCACCTACCCCTTTACATCTGACTTTTACCCTAGGTCAATGTTATCAAGGGGCATCCACGATACAACAGTATCCTCAGTTCATTCCTTTTCATGACTTAATCATATTCCACTGTTTGGGTATAGCACAGTTTATCCATGGGTGTATCTGTTGCTGACACTTTGAGTATTGTATATAATACTTTTTTTCTTTTGGGTGTGCACCCTGGAGCGTACTTGCTGGGTCCCTTGGTAATTCTGGCTTAGATTGTTGATGAACTCAATATGTTATATTCTTACCCACAGTGTTTGAGGTTTCAGGTTTTCCATAACTTCACCAGCACTTCCCTTTCTGCTCCCTGTGGCCAGCCTAGAGGTGGCTTCTAGGCTGTTTGTGGCATCAGGAGATAGGCGGCCCGTCCAGCCACGTCCAGGCTCTAAAACACCCATGCTAGCCTTTCTGTAGCGTTTCCTTCTGCGTTGTCTCCTGGCAAGTGTGAAATGGCCAGGGGACACATTAAGTAAGAGAACAAGTGTTGCCTCACTCAGCTGTTGCTGGGTAAGTGACCACACCCACAACTGTGCTTGGGAGGGAGCTCAGCTCACCGACAGGGGCTCCGAGTGCCTTTCATTAGCTGGCTCCAAGTGCCTCTAACCCTGGCGAGGCGGTGTGCAAGGTGGAGAACAGCATCTGATGAAATATGTGTCGTTTCCTGCCCAGCTGGCCCTGTCCTGGGCTCCGAACATGAGACGCGGCTGGTGGCGAAGCTATTTAAAGACTACAGCAACGTGGTGCGGCCGGTGGAGGACCACCGTGAGATCGTACAGGTCACCGTGGGTCTGCAGCTGATCCAGCTCATCAACGTGGTGAGACAGGGCTGGGGGCTCCCTGTGGCATCCACCCAGTCTGTGACACCCACCCTGTGACACCCAGCCTGTGGCACAGACTCTCACGCTGGACCTCTAGCGCTGGCTTTCCTATGTATGCCCTTGACGAGGGATCCTTCTCTTTTTTTTCAGGATGAAGTAAATCAGATCGTGACAACCAACGTGCGTCTGAAACAGGTCATCAGGCTGGGATATCACACTTACGTCGTCGTTGTTGTTGTTGTTGTTGTTGTTTCCACCTAAAATCAAACCTGGACTCAGAGGAAATCAACCTAGGAAATAGGATCTTGCAGCAAAATGTTGAGAGTGGGTCCCTCAGGGCGGTGGGAGCATAAATATCCGCTGCGTCCTGATATCCTGTTTGCTTTGGGCTCTCTTCTCATATGTTTATTCTTCTGTGTGAGGCTTCATTTGCTAGGGAGGCCGCAGCCGAGGACTACAAACCAGAAGGCTTGGACAACAGGAATTTATCCTTGCGCTGTGCTGGATCCCAGATGTTCCAAAGTTACTGTGTCATTCGAGTGGCTTCCCTCTGAGGGCTGTGAAGGGAAAGCCATTCCAGGACCTTCTGCGAGGCTTGTAGATAGCGGCTGCTGTGTTCGCAAAATATTCTGTGTATTTGGGATGTGTGTGTGTGCGCGCGCGCGAGAGCACACGTTCAAGTGTGTGTGTGTGTGTGTGTGTGTGTGATATTTAAATCTCCTTTTTTTTTTTTATTTTGAGGACATTGGACTACAGCTAACCCTAATGGCCTCACTTTAACTTAATCCCTCTGTAAAGATCCAACCAAGGGCTCGTTCTGAAGTATGGGCTAGCACTCGCAAGAGTGAATTTCACCAGAGCACAGATGAGCCGGGAATCCTGTACCCCAAAGCCTGCTGGCCCCTCCAAACTCCAGATCACTCTGGACAGGACGCCGACTCGGCCTTCTGACCGCGGACATGTCTCCCTTTCTAGCAATGGGTAGATTCCAACCTGAAATGGAATCCGGAGGAGTATGGAGGAGTGAAGAAAATTCACGTCCCGTCGGAAAAGATCTGGCGGCCAGACCTCGTTCTGTACAACAAGTGAGTGAGGCCGCCTGGGTTTCCTGCTGTTTGCGTTAAATAACCCCTAAAACCAGAGCCACGCTGACAGACGAGGGGTGCCATATGGCGTCCTACGTTATGAATAGAAACAATTATGGGAGCCAAATCGAATCGGGGCTGTGGGTGGGGACATTAATCCCGGAGAGCTGCAGTGAGGCGTGTGGCAACCATACCCCGCCTCCCCCGGCCTCAGCTCCCGGGGGGTATTATTTATCACGTCCTGAATGCCATCCCGGCATCGATGCCCGGATGCCTGCCTTGCCATCCGCTGGGCTCTGCAACAGACTGTGGGTTGTGAAATGATAATGTGATTCAAGACGCTTGGCTTAATGACACGTTCATTATCATATGCCCTTCATTTGTCAGGGAATATTCATTTCCAAGAGCAGCCTTCCGAGGCAGGCGCAGGAGCATGCGCAGTCAGTTAGCAGATTTGCAGTCTGATCCTCACTCACCAGGGCTGGGATTGCTGCGCGTCCCACAGATGTTCCTAGGGCTGGTGGGGGCGGTGGATGGAAATGACGCCCCCTGGCGGCCCTCCCAGCATCTACCCCTCACAGCCCAGCCACAGCAGGGATTGCAGCTAGAGCAAGGCGGTGGTACCTTTTCAGATGGAGATGTTGATGGATGCAGTGCCTTCTCTTTAGTGAGACCCCCACGACAGCTCTGGTCCTCTTCACAGACTAATGAGAAGCACCTCCCTGGCTAGAGAAAAGGGCTGGGGGTGCAGCTCAGTGGTAGAGCATTTGTCTAAGGTGTTAAGTGCCTGTATTAGATCCTCAGAACCAGAGGAAATGGACGCCCTGGTTAAAAAAAAAAGAAAAAGAAAAAAAAATCCATGTTTCCAGCTTCTGAGAAGAGATCCAGCTATGGCCACGAGGAGTCTTTAGACTTCCATGGGCTCCCTGGGCAGCCTGGTGCTGAAGGTCACACTTAGGTAGGGAGGGGCCTGGTCCGTCCCCTGCTGGCTGGAAGACATCTGAGTTTGTGACTGGTCCCGCAGAGTTCTAAACAACTCTCAGAAGGGCGCCAGTCCCGTCCCTGCTCCCCCATACGATATTCAGCTCTTAAGAGTGTTATGTGTTAAATTTCCAGTTTTCCCAGCAACTCTCAGAGCACACAGACAGAGGCTAGCATTAAAAATGTCTCCGGGGGCAGGAAAGGGGAAGCTGAGGTGCAGTGTTGATTTAGGACAAGCTTGGGGAGCACTGTCTCGTATTAGAATGCGGTATTGGAGCCATTTTTCTCTTATCCCCACCGCAGTGCCGACGGCGACTTTGCCATTGTCAAATTCACCAAAGTGCTCCTGGACTACACAGGTCACATCACCTGGACGCCTCCAGCCATCTTTAAGAGCTATTGTGAGATCATTGTCACCCACTTTCCCTTTGACGAGCAGAACTGCACCATGAAGCTGGGCACCTGGACGTATGATGGCTCGGTGGTGGCCATCAACCCGGTAGGTGGGGCCTACGGGAATGAGGCTGGTTCCAGGACTAGGGCTGCCCAGGGATCCGAGTCAGCCCCCCGGGCAGTTCCAGGCTCCAGGCATCTAGTTGTATGGCTTTCTGTTGAGTGCCAAGGTTCTCAATGAACTAACTGCCAGGAGAACTAAGTCAGAGCTCAGCTGAGTTCCCTTTGCTATGGGTGGTTTCAAGAATTCTGATGAGTGAGTCTTGAAAAGTGGGGCTTGGGTGCCGGTGTCTTAAAGTTTCCTGGCGATCTGAGAGTGGAGACAAAATGAACAATCCTAACTTATTGGAGGACACGTGCTGTAGGAAATGAGCCCATTACCCTTAAGCAGAAGTGGCCGAGCGTCTGCCTTGGAACAGTGACCCTCCAAGGAGACATGGTTACCATGCCACTGCCTCTCCTCAGCGTGGTGTAGTGGGGCTGTGAGGGGCTGTGCGGGGCTGTGCGGGGCTGTGCAAAGCTTCTTTCATTCCTCAGGAGAGCGACCAGCCCGACCTGAGTAACTTCATGGAGAGCGGGGAGTGGGTGATCAAGGAGGCCCGGGGCTGGAAGCACTGGGTGTTTTACTCCTGCTGTCCTAACACCCCCTATCTGGACATCACCTACCACTTCGTCATGCAGCGCCTGCCCCTCTACTTCATCGTCAACGTCATCATTCCCTGCCTGCTCTTCTCCTTCTTGACCAGCCTGGTGTTCTACCTGCCCACAGACTCAGGTGAGAGCAGCTGTCATGACTGCAGCTGCTGTGGAGCTCATGCTGCTATTTCAGGGCCGGCCAGGAGGAACTGCGTGCCGACAGAGACACGGGGAGGGACGCGAACCATCGCTGCTGTGCCCAGGGGGTGGCCGGACAGTGATGGTTGGCCTGAGTGGGAACTGCAAACTCAGGTTCTCTGAGCGAGCAGCCAGTGCCCCGAACCACTGAGCTCCCTCTCCAGCCTCACCGTGCCCGTGTTTCTGTTTATTTTAATGTTATTTTTAGGTGTATGGGTATCTTGCCCACATGTCTTCTGTGTACTATGTGTGTGTGTCTGGTGCTAACGGGGCCAAAATAGGGCATCAGTTCCCCTGGGACTACAGCTCCACATGGCTGTGGGCTGCGATGTGGATGCTGGGAATGGAGCAGCCAGAGCTCTGGACTTCCAAGCCATCTCTCTTGCCTCCCAGATTTCTTTTGAGCAAATAAGTACAAATAAATATTTTCAACTTTCTAATCTAATAAAACTTCCAAAAGCAAGAGAAAACACTACCAGGCCAATACAGAAACGAACTAGCATCCATAAATATGGAATCGTTCACGACTGTATATACTAAGCAGTTATGACTGCACTAAGTTTGGTGAATGTTAGCTGCTAACATCAGCATTATTAAATAAGGAATGGTAAGTAACTTGATAACTTTAATGTTTATAATTCTAACGTCTTGTTTTGGAGGTGGAATGGAGGGTTCTGTGCTTTTATTTGCCCTGTGTCCCCTTTTACAGTAGCTCCTCGGTATTTACAAGAGACCAGTATCAGGACGCCTCTGGGTCCCGAAATCCAAGCGTGCTAAGTCCCTGGTGTAAAATGGCGTTATAGTCACGTGGCAATTCCACAGGTTCACTGATACTTAAAATTCCTTCTTGATACACTGTAGAGGTTACACAAATAGTTATCCTCCTGTATTGTTTGGGGGTTGGTGGTGGAGAGGTCTGCGGATGTTCGGTTCAGACACAATTTAACTTATCTGAATAGTTTCAATCTGAGTTTGGCTGCATTCTTGCAAAACCTGCAGGTATGGGAGGCTGACTCTATATCAACCATCTGGAAGGGTACGAAGGGGTCTACAAAACACAAGAGACCTCCTCCAGGGACCCCAACAAGGGCAGCCCCAGGTTCTCTATAGCACCCCACGATACGGTGCCAGTCAGCCTGACCTTCGAGCAGCCTGCCCAGCCATGCCCCTGAGACTCAGGAGTCCTTGTTTCAGTTTTGGCCTTGCAGCTCGCTTCACCCTGAGAGAAGTGCATTTCTGGGCTGCCCAGCCATCTGCTGGGCAACAAAAAGATCAGTAGTGAGGTTTAGTCAAACTTCCACCGCACGTCCAGCTTGCCAACCCAGAACCTCCCTTGTTTTTCCTGAGTCTCAACAAAGAGCAGAGCCTAGGGCATGAGGTTGCCATTCGCTGCTTGGCAACAGTGATGGAAACATCGGCCACTTGATGCTGCCGGTAGAGTTAAGGCGCTGTGGCCACACAGGAAAGATCACCCAGAATTATCCTTTGAGAACGTGCTGGTCACATTCCTTCACCAACCAGGCCGGTCTATTCTGAGGCCACTCTGCTGGGCTTGCAGGAGATACCCCCTCCATGTCCTCACATGCTCTTCCCTGTAAAAGGAACTTTTATCCGCCTGTTTGAATTGTTGTCTGCGAGGCTTACTGCCTCCCTCTGCTAACCTAGGCTCAGTCCTGGAAGCTTCTAGCCTCCATATGGTCTAATTTAGGCCTGGAATGTTTTCAGTTTCTGAGAATTACTGCTGAGTTAGCTCACCTTTTCTTGTTCTTTCTGAGCTCTGGCCTGGCTGGTTCAACTCAGCTGTCCTAGCTCAAACTCCTCTCCCAGCTGATTTATTCAATCTGGCTTTTCTCTCGACCTCTGAATTGCTGTTTGGCCTCAAACTAACTTCAGCAATCTGTTCTAATCTTCTGGCTCCTTTTCATTCTCTGGCTCATTCTGCCTTCAACCTCCCCCATTGTCCCTTAAGTAGCTTCCTTTTCCTCTCTCTTCTCATGAGAGTTGGGCATATCCTATTCTGTCAAGTCTTTCTCTGATTCATCACTGTTTCTGCCACTCAATTCGACATCACTTTCAAACATTGAAACATGGGCGCTTCCTTCTACAAACTAACTCTACCTTTATTGTCTGGGATTAAAGGCAAGTACCACATACCTGGATCTAAGCGACCTGAAACTTGCTCTATAACAGGCTGGCTTTGAACTCGGATCTGCTTGCCTCTGCCTCCTGGATTAAAGGCGTGTTTGTATTCCAGCTGGGTCACACAGACCTGGAAGGTCTTCGGAGGTGATCTCTTGTCAGAGCGGCCGTGTTCTCAATCAAAATTCCTCTACCCTTCCCCATGACTATCTGTGCCCAAATCTGCCACACCCCTTGCCAGTCTGCTCTACTCTTGTTTTGCCTTTATCGTCTCCTTAGCGGCCCCGTATCCAAACACAGTCACACACTCTGCGGCCCTGGGGTGTCGGGAGTGGGCGGGCCGCGGCATTTCTTCTCGTCGTCTTTGCAGGGGAGAAGATGACGCTGAGTATCTCCGTCTTGCTGTCGCTGACCGTGTTCCTCCTGGTCATCGTGGAGCTGATCCCGTCCACCTCCAGCGCCGTGCCTTTGATCGGGAAATACATGCTGTTCACCATGGTCTTCGTCATCGCCTCCATCATCATCACCGTCGTCGTCATCAACACGCACCACCGGTCACCCAGCACCCACGTCATGCCCGAGTGGGTGAGGAAGGTGAGTGCCGACACCCGCGCACGGGGCGGCCTTCAGGGAGCCCCACGGAGTCCTTCCTAGGCTTCGGGAGAGCCGGGGAAGCTGCTGCTTCTTTGCGGGGACAGCTCAGGTGGCCTTCCTGGAGACGGAGGAGAAGCAACATGAATCACGCGCGCTCCCGATTCGAGCTTCTGGAATCTGACCAGAGACTGACAGATCCTGACTTAGGCCTGAGCGCCCTTAAGCTTTTTGTGGGTGTGTTTTCCAGCTTGCGAACAGACACGCTCATTTTCACTGGTGAAAATCACCCGTGGAGAATAGACCGAGGAGGAGAGAGAGCAGAGGGCCCTGATGGGAGGAACATTTTTTTTTCTTTTTTAATTAGTTAATTTTGTGGCCATGCTGGGGATGGAACCCAGGGCCCTGCACATTCTTGACAAGCACTGTTCCGCTGAGCCGTGTCCCCCGCCCAGATATGCCCGCTTTTTTGGTAAAGGTCGTAGAGCTGCAAACGGCGTAGGGCGTCAGTGTCCGCAGTTCTAGGTTACCACAGAGGCTTTCCGGAGGAGACGAACGACCTTGGGCAATCCCTCTGTATGCTTAACACCAGGAACAAAACCCGGAAGAAAACGGTCGAGTTACACTTGAGGCTGCAGACCCGCTCCTTAACCACAGGGTCCTGACCTTGCCAGGACGGTTCTGCTGCCTGATGAGGAGTCTCAAGCGCGGCGCAGAGTTGGCGTCTGCACGCAGGTGCCCTCCAGTGGCCAATTACGCACATTACAGAACCAGAGCCGCCGCAGACATCCCGCCCTGTCCAAGACTGAACTGTGTGGTCTTTGACCTCCAGTGCAATCCCTTTGTTTTAAGGACAAGGAGGGTGAGGCCTAGAGATGCTGAGTGATTTGCCCAGGATAGCATTGCTAACTCGAGACCGTGATTCTGGAAATGTTGTCCTATGCCGTGAATTTCTTTTCTTTTCTTTTTTTTTTTTTTTTTTTTGTTAGGTTTTTATTGACACCATTCCAAACATCATGTTTTTCTCCACAATGAAAAGACCATCCAGAGACAAGCAAGAGAAAAGGATTTTTACAGAAGACATAGATATCTCTGATATCTCCGGGAAGCCGGGGCCTCCACCCATGGGTTTTCACTCTCCTCTGATTAAGCACCCTGAGGTGAAAAGTGCCATCGAGGGGGTCAAGTACATCGCGGAGACCATGAAGTCAGACCAGGAGTCCACTAATGTAAGCTTCGTGGCTCCGAGGCCACCTCTGTGGGTCTCTCTCTCTTTCTCTGTATCGTTTATTTTTGTTTTGTTTTGCTTAGAGACAGGGTTTCTCTGTGTAGCCCACCAGGCTGACCTTAGAGATCTGCCTGCCTCCTGAGTGCTGAGATCAAGGGTGTGTGCCACCACCAGCAGGCTAGCACACCTCTGGGTTTAAATGATCAAATGCATGAGTGTGATGGGGGGGTTAACCTGAACAATGAACTGGCTTCAAGCTATGGTTACTGACCTCAGACGTTCTGTGTTGACTTTAGTAACTCATTTTGTAACACCTAAAGGTTATAATATGAGCCTCAGGTGTTGAGTCCTGGAGATTTACATATTGAAGGCCAGGCCAACAGGGGATGCTACAAGCCTCCGTCCCGTCTAATGCCCTGTTTCCTCTCAGGCTTCTGAGGAGTGGAAGTATGTTGCCATGGTAATGGACCACATTCTCCTTGGAGTCTTCATGCTGGTATGTCTCATCGGGACACTGGCTGTGTTTGCAGGTCGGCTCATTGAGTTACATCAGCAAGGATGAACAGAAGCTGAGCTGAGCCTACCTCTGCCCCAGCCCCAACCAGCCCTGGGAATGCTGGGAAAAGAGGAAGCTCTGTCTAATCCCTTCACACTTAGCAAACATGCGATGTCCTACCTACATATCCTATTAGTGATCTCTGTTTGCTCCTCTATGGTCTTTTCCCCTTTGCTTCTAAACCCTTTGCAAGTAAATGGAAGTGAGTATTCAAAAGTGTTTCTTTCTAATTTGAATGCTCAAGGTTTTCTGTTGTGTTGTCATTGCTAATTGTTTTTTTTTTTTATTTCTTTCCTTTAAAAAAATAGAACTGTACATTGCATGAGTGTTTTGCCTGCACTTATGTCTCATACACATGCCTGGTATCCATGAAGGTCAGAAGAGGGTATTGAGTCCCCTGCAACTGGAATAAAAAATGTTTGTGAGCCACCACATGGAACCTGGGAACCGGGTCCTCTGAAAGAGCAGCCAGTGTTTTTTAACCACTGAGCCATCTCTCCAGCCCTGTCGTTATTTTTAAAGCATGGAGAGTTCTTTCCTTAAGACATACAGTTTCACACCTACTATGAAAGCCCTGACTGCCAGATTCCCCAAAGACAAAGCATTTGATGTGGATCCGGTGGAAACAGGAGAAAGTAAATTAGGTAACTTTAAGTTTTAAAAAAAATTAAGTGTGTGTGTTTGTGTTTTCACACGCACGCGTGTGTACGAGCATGCACAGCCATGCAAAGTCAGGGGACAACTTTTAGTGGTTGGTTCTCATCTTCCACTTCATTTGAGGCAAAGTCTCTCTTGCTATTTCTGCTGCTGCATTTTATACTCATGGCAAGCTTGGGGCTGGAGGCGGGGTGTGTGTGGGAGTGTGGGGGATTCTCCTCTCTACACTTCCCATCCCACCAGCGGAGCGCTGGGATTACAGATGTGTTCCATCATCTCCAGCTCTTCACATGGGTTCTAGGATTGAATTTAGGTCATTAGGTTTGTGCAGCAAAAACTGCTTTTACCTGCTTAACCTATTTTGCTGGCCCAAAGGTATCTTTTAGGGCAATCGGCATGCAAATAGTATCAAAAACCTATGATTTCAAAAACCAGGAGAGGGAGGACATTTTCTTTTAAAAAAAAGTTTTTGTTTGAGAGGCCTTTTAGAAAGGGAGCTTGGGATTGCTTGGAATTGTACCCAGAGCCTTGAAAATACAAGTTTGCACAGAGCTGTAACTGAGCCCCAATGTTCTCAGCTTAACGAGGTGTTTGGGTTTTGTTCTCAGGATCTGAGGAAGAGCAGGTTCCGTAATCACTGAGAATGAGCCTCTGATACCTTGACAATCACCTCATCCACGTGGATTTATTTTATCCAAATAATTTCACACAATCTTCATAATGTCCCTATTTTCCTTTTTTATTTTTTAAGTGAAGCTGGGGAAATTCTTCTCCAACTAGAAGCTTTTAGAAAGGAGGTCGGAACCCAGACAGACCTTAAGATTCTAAAGCAGGAGCTGGAGAGACAGCTCCTGAACAGCAAAGGCTCACATAGCAGGCGGGGCTTTTGAATAAAATGTGTCTTGGAGGGCTGGAGAGATGGCTCAGAGGTTAAGAGCACTGGCTGCTCTTCCAGAGGCCCTGAGTTCAAGTCCCAGGAACCGCACAGTGCTTGGTGGCTCACGACCAGCTATAAATGGGATCTGATGCCATCTGCTGGCATACAGGCATGCATGCAGAGCACTCATGCATTTTAAAAAATATATAAACACATTTTCTGAAGAGCTGAAAAAAAGAGAAAAAGATTCCCAAACAAGACCAGCTCCCTGGCTGTCCTGGCCAGGCCTAGCTTGATCTGAGCTGTTCTGTAGCTCTGGTTTGTGTGGTTGCATCCTATTTCCTGCCTTCCCAATTAAACTTTCCCTTCAGTCCTTACATTTCTGAAATCTGAAGAACGAGTTCTCTGCGGCAAACCTAAACTTTAGTACAGTTTGCCCCAGAGAAACCTCAAGGCTCTGGACTGGGAAACAGCCTTTGAATCACAAAGACATCTGATCCCTATCAGGTCCAGGGAGAGCTATAAAGCGCACAACCAGAAGGCCAGGCCGAGCCCAGGTGGCTTCAATCTCCTTCTCCAAGGGACTTCCCGTCACCCCTGCGCCAGCGCGGGGCGCTTTCATCTCAAACAGTTCCCGTTTTAAAGGGAAAACAATTGGCAGTTTCTCAAAAAAAGTGGTACTCAGGGTCGCCAAAGGATTCAACCATTCCACTCCCAGGTAAGAGAGCCAAAGAACGCGAAAGAGCGTACACTTGTTTGTATGAGAATGTGCAGAGAAGGGAAGAGCCAAGAGAAAGCAATCCCGGTGCCCATCCATAGACAGAGGAAGAAAATGGGCAGAGGGACTGGGTTTTGTGTGTGCTGCAGCCACCATTTTGTCTTTTTTTTTTTTTTTTTTTTTGAGATAGAGTTTCTCACTGACCTAGAACTTGACAAATGGGCTAGACTGGCTTGGCAGCTAGCTCCAGGATCTGCCTGCCGCCTCTCTCGGAGCACATGGCTCTGTTTTCAGTAATTAAGCCAGAGCTGTCCCTAAGGGCAGCGAGGCCACTGCCGCCGCTGGCCTCCAGGTTTCGCTCGGGAGCAGGGGTGACTCGGGCGGTGTTCCCGTGTGGAGTAGCATGTTGCAGAGCACAGCATGAGTGTGTGTTCAGACCCCAGGCTGCCGTGAAGTCCCATAATGCAACTCGTACAAATCCTGCCCCGGATAGCTCAGAATCTGTACGTGTTTGATTTTTGCTCGCTTTTGGTAATCGTACAGTCGGAGACCCTTCACTGTCGCCGAGTCTTCCCGCAACCCCACGCTCGGTCACACGACCATGAGGCCACGAGGAAGATTCGCTCACGTGAGGCACCTAGGGATGCGCAGGCCGAGGCTGGGGGTGGGGAAGCTAGGGGTTACCGGTCCTGAGGACAGACTTCCTCTTTGGCAAGATGAAGGCACAACAGGTTTAACAGCAGAATAAAGCGAAGGCCTCCGCTAAGGATGCTGGGAAGAGGCTGGCGCCATGTTCCTACCCAAGGACATAAAGACACCCCCCCCCCGCCCCCGAGTTCTGTCAGAGCACAAGGCTGGTCTGCGACTGCTGTCCTTTTGCTGCTTTTCTTTTCCTTCCTGTATGTGTGTCGTTGGTGCCTGTGTCTGTGTGCGCTCCAAGGCCAGAGGCTAAGCTCCGAGGTCATTCCTCCGTTCACCGTCCTGGTGTTCTGGTTGTGAGCCTTTTAATGGCTGAGCCGTCTCTCCAGCCCTCACCCGCCGCTTTTTTAAAACACAGGGCCTCTCCCTGTTGTGGAACTGTCACGGTTTATAATGGTGCGGTAAGGGGGTACCAGGGCGGGCCAAGGTGGAATCATGCCAGGGAACAGATCTGGTATGAGGAAGTGTGTTGGGGGAAGAGAGAGGAGGCCTGGGGAAGGTGTAGAAGCAGAGAATGAGCCGTGAGGGCAGGGGAGGGGGCAGGGAGGGAGAGGAAAGAGGGCGCCTGGAACAGAGAGAGCTGGGCTGGCTGGGGTTCTCACGTGTCCCCGCGCACACCTGGCGCAGCTGGCAGCGGCAGGTGATGATGTAAGCACGTGCGAGGCCCCTGAGGGCGGGGCAGCTGGATCTCCTGTACGCTGGGCCGGGCTGGCTGGCTACTTAGCCTCAAGTATCTGCTGACTCTGACCTGCAGGAGCTGGGATTGCAGGTGCGTGCCGCTGTGCCCTCCTTGTTTTTCAGTGGGAGTTGTAGGGATCAGACCCAGGTCCTGTGCTTGTAGGGCGAGCGTGTTATCAACCGAGCCACCTGCTCGGCCCCAACGTGCTACCGTCCGTTGCTCTCCAAGCCGCCATGCTCCCCCACAAGTGCTCCGCCCTCCCCCATCCTGCAAGCCGGAAGCTTGGTCCTGCACCGGTGTGCACCCATCCAACTCCAAAAACGGCTCTGGGGATCTGCCCTCAAGCCAGCGTCTCGTTCTTTCACTAGTTAAATAAAGCCTGATTTCCGGAAGGTCACCACTAACATCCACGCAGTACCTGCTGGAAACCACCCCACCTAGCGCTCTGTGAGGGGCCCAGGCGGTGAGCCCCTACGTGTCTGTGCTCGTGTGCATCCGCCTGGATGGCAGGGCAGCCTTCCTGAGAAACGAGGACCTAGAACTCAAGGCAGGCGCTTTGTGATGGAGATGACTTTCCAGGGCGCAGATTTCCGAATCTTCATTGGTATTGGAGGGCTCGGTGAAGAGGGGGCGGGGTTCCAGAAATACGGGGAGGGATCTCACGACCCGGGCCCCAGGGATTCGTTTCTCTCACCCTGCGTTTGGGCCCCAATGCACGCTGAGCTGCGTTACTGGGTCTTTCAGATGCTGAACCCCAGCTTCCAGGGCAGCAGTATTGGAAGATGGGCCTTTGCAGGGTGGCGATCAGCTTTACACGGAGGCTGTACAGCGGGCTGCGGGCTTTGCTGAGGAGGAGCATGCCAGGCAGCTTCCCTCTCCTTCCCTCCCTCCCTTCGTCCTCTCCTGCCTCCCTCCTTCCCCAGCACCATGTGAAGACACAGGAAGGCCAGCTGGTGAGAACAGGACCACTGCAGCCCAGTAATGACCTTCAGCGTTCCAGCACCGTCTCACCCCCCTCATCTCTACACTCCCCTCTATCCGTACCAAGCTTAAAGCAGAGGCTGCCATGAACATGGTTCCCCCCGGACGCAGGCCAGGATCGGTTTTCGAGTAGCTGAGCTGTCGGCGCATGCCGGGGCCCTGCCAGTTCTCTGGGACTTGGTTACTAGTTAGTCCTGGGTCAGTCTTAAATGCTTCCTCTAAACAGACACACCACAGCCATGGCAACATGAAGGGGAACCTGGCTCGAGGGCACCTGTAAGCTCTCTGCACCCTGTGCAACCTTCCTATAAGTCTAACACCCCTGGCTAATCTTCGCTTCCAACTGGACTGGACTGAGAGATACATCGAGGTTAGTACCACACACTTCTGAATGTGGCCGGTGAAAGTGTTTCCAGACAGGGAACGATAGGGTGTGAGGGTGGGACTGGGAGGAGAGGAGGGAGGGGGCTGGAATCAGGCCGGAAAGTAAAAATCTATGAATAAAAGAAAAAACATTGTGTGACTCTGCTATCATAAGAGACGGTAAATAGGTTCTTGGAAACAAGGAGACTCAGGGTTACCAGGATA